AGGGCAAGGGGCAGATGAGCTGGGGTCTTGAATGTTGTTTCTTTGGGAGCACCTGAAGGGGTGGCGACTTCTAGAACTCTCCGCCCCTGGTTCCCCAGGCTGGGGCTCCTTGTGGGGCCTGGTGTTTAGATCTGGTACAGACCTAGGCATCTTCCCTGGAAGCATCCCCAGGCCTTCTGGTAGCAGGGAACAGCTCGACTCGGCTTTTCGTGTTCTCAGTAAAGCCTGTTTGAGAAGGTGAGGTTGCCATTGCCTCAACCTGTGCGCAGATCGCTCTTGATCCCCTAGCCTGGTTTGGCCAGAATTGAGTACGGGACGGTGACAAGGATTGCCAAGATCGCCCCCCTCAATCCAGCATCCAGCTGGTTTCCTGGCTGGCCTTCTGGTGGTACTTAACGCAGTTTTCCCCCTTTCTGTCCCAGCAGAGTTAGGTTTGGGCTGCCGTGGAGCCCCCTTGTTTTGCTGAGGAAGTGAGAGACAGAGGCTCACCCAAGAGGCTGCTCCCTTCTGATGTGGAAGGACACACTAGTGATGGGGTTCAGCAGCTGGCTGGGGAAAAGAAGCTCTTGGCCTTCGTCCATCCTGTCTTTAGAAATAACTCCTTTTCTAAGTAGCAGGCTCAGGAGATTAGTGAACTGGGGAACTGTGAGCGTGAGGGTGAGGAGTACTGTTTGGGGAACTCATTACCTTCCAGCCACTCTTTGGAAAGTCCAAGACCCCAGCAAGATGAACCCCACACATGGCCTAGTAGCTCTTGTCAGACAAGCTAGGGTATTTGGGAGCTGTGATACCTGGCAGGGACAAGGGCACAAAATCTTTTGTGGGTGCTTATGATCCCGAGCCCTCCCCTTGGGCATACCATGAGTTGGAGGACCCTGGAGGAAGTATCCTGGGGTAGGTGTCCTTACCCCTACCTAATTAGCTGGAAACTGACTTCCTTCCCCCAACCTCGGGATGGTCTGGGTATGCCAGGACGAAAAGGAGACTTTACTTTCTGTTTGTCCTAGAATATTCAGACCTCAATGGGGTGGGCATGGGGGTTACTTGGCAGGCACCCTATCAGGGACCCTGGGTGTAGTATTGCCATTGTTTCCGGCTTACTCTATGACCCTTGGCAGGACTTTGCTCACTCGGCCTCAGTGTCCTGAACTGTGAAACAAAGAAGTTGGAGTAGAAATGGATTTTTCAGAGCCTTCCTATTTCTATACCTCCTTTCCCAGTTCTGGGACAGAGGACTTTTGGGTAGCATCAGCAAAGTTGTTTTTTCCTCATTGTCTGTGAAGGTTTGTCTGGAGCCTCTGGGTACCCAGTGGGCTCCAGGACAAATGGTATGTCTCAGATGTGTTGGAGAGCCCAGCTCCTGTTCCCAGGCTTTATCCAACGGAAGTGTTCGTACTGTGGGTACCTCCTTTTCTCCTGATCCAGAATGCAGGTCAGGAAGATGGCAGAGTGGGCAGGCTGTTGACAAACTCTTACTCATCGTCCCACTCCAACACCTAGCATAGTGTCTGGCAGGTGCAGGTGTTTGAGTTCTTGTCAGAACTATTCTGTACCCCCACCCAGCCTACCATGAGGACTCTAGCAGGCGGTGACATTTTCAATCTGGGACTATAGCTTCTCAGGCCAGAAAGGTATAACAGTACTCAGCAGTCTGGAATCTAGATCCAGTGTTGACCTCCTTGCATATGCCTCCACCCAGAATCACAGGTTCCTCTTGCTGTAACAGGAGCCCTGCAGTCCCAGCCCTACAGGAAGAGTCATGGCCTTTTGTAATTGTTTAGTTTGGTGACAGGTGAGAGGTGAGATGCGGCCTGTGCTCAAAGGGCCCTTACACCTAGGGGTCAGTGTATGTTACAGGGCAGCTGGAGATAGCATGGCTACTGTGGCAGCTTGTGACCCCTCATCAGGTGCCATATGTGTCCCTGCCTACCCAGAGAGTGTGTGAGGGAGCAAGGCACTGGAGGATGTTGGTTTTCCCCTTCCTTTGCCTCCTGTTACTCTGCCACCGTCCTGAGCTCGCTGGCTTGGGTTTCACACACCATACTTTTCACGCTGTGGACCTCCATATCAGCTTCTCCTCTTTGGCAGTCCCGGGCACAGAAGTCAAGACCTCAAGGTGTTCATCCTTTGGATGGACAGGGCTGGGGACATGTTGCAAGGCAACCTGCAGGGTCATTGTCCCTTCATAATGGAGAGTTTGGGGTAGGGTGAATGGTGGACTTTTTTCCTCTTTTATTGAAGTGTAATTTACATATAGCCTCATACCTACACATTAGTGTTCATCCTGTGGATTTTTACACATGTGTAAACTAGCATAACCACCACTGTGGTCAAGATGTACATTTCTATTATGCTCAGAGGTGTTATTGAGCCCCTCCCCTCCAGTCCTTGCCCACAAAGGTAACCACCATTCTAACCTCTGTCCCAGTGGATGGTGGATTATTCTTACTTTTTTGTTTTGGGTTTTTTTTTTTTTTTTTCCCGGTACCGGGAATCGAACTCACGACCTTTTCACTTGCTAGGCAGGTGCTGTGCCACTGAGCTAAATCCCCAGCCCCTGGATTATTCTTACTTGCTTTGGGCAGGGGCGCTTTTCCCTCTTGTCTATTGAGGATCTAGATGCTCCATGTCTCAGGAAAGGGAGGCCTGAAGCTGATCTTTCTGTGTAGTACTACTGGCTCTAGAGACCACTGATGACTACAGCTAGGGGCATCAGTTCACCTCCGTAGAGGCCTCCCTGTGTTTAACACTAATTACTGTTATCCCAAGACCCCTCCTTCTTCCTGCCCATATATACCAGATCCACACCCTGACTGTAGAGTCAGAAAGAAGTTACTCCTAACCTTTATATTCCCTGTCCCATCTGCTCCAAGTTTGGTCCAGAGAGCTTCTTTAGGGCAAGGATTCATTAAAGCACAATAATTGTTCGACTTTTAGAAACCCTTCTTGGCCTTTATGTTTAGGAACAGCTGGGGCTCCTGCTTGGGTAGACTCAAGGCCACTTGGGTGTAGGAAGTAAAAAGAATAGTTTGGGTAGTTTCTCATCTGTGTCATCCAGAACTGAATTGGCACCAGTGTGACCCAGACCAGGACAGTGTGCCTGCCCATTCTTGTTTCGGGTCACCATGGAGGAGAGGGAGGACCCCTTTTTCAGGCTTAAGGGTATGCCTTGGATCACATTCCTAGGGTAGTATTTAAAAACTGCCATAACCAGGGGCTCATCACATCTGGTCTGCCCACAGCGTGGGGCTCTGGGCCAATTGCCCCTGTATATCTAGCTGGCATTTCTAGTCCTAGCTTTGCCAGTTAGGGCATTAGGCTTAAGGTGGAGGCCTCAGGACAAACCGTTTATGATCCTGGCCTGGGCGGCTCCCCACTTACAGGAAACCCCACCATTTCAACAAGAGGAATTTAGGCTGCATCATTTCCCGCTTCCTGTCCGGGCTGCCGGAGACAACTGGCAGGCAGACCCCCTCACCCAGTGAGTTTGGGAGTTGGGGGAGGGAGCTTCCCATGCCTGGGTGCCTGACTGTTGTGATAATACCAGTACAGAAGTGCCCTAGGTCTCCCCCTCCTGGCATAGATGGCTGGTCCTTTCCTTATGAGCCCTGAAATCAGCCCCTTGGGAAGATGAATGGCTGTCACCTGGTACATCCCTCATTGCCCTGTTTTGGGGGCTTCTTAAACCTGGATTCACAGACTGAGCTGTCTTCACTTCCCATTTCCATGCTTTATTGGGGGGACACTCATTGTAGGGAGAGCTCAAGCCCCTGACTCAGAGTCTGTGTATAGTTCTCTTGGGAACCTAGATGGGAGTTCTTAGCGGGGAAGGCCCGAGAATCTGGGTTAGAGAGATACTCATCACCCCAGGACTATCCCTCCCTGGAGGGAGGGTGGCACAGCTCGCCACCCTGAGTGTTGTAGGCAAGCCAAGAGCCAGCCACCCCCACCCCCGGACAGGAGTTCCTGAGCTGGGGCATGGGCCTGGGCAGAGCAGAGTGTTGGGAGAGAGACTGCCTGCCCTACCCCCTCTCAAGGAGCACACAATGGCTGCTTTCTCCCCCATGACCTTTCAGCAGTCTGAGTTGTATGCAGCTCTCTCCTCCCCTTTTCCTGAGGGGCCTGGAATGGGTGGCATCTCCCCTACCCTTAAGGACCTTGGGAGCTTCCACCCAGTATTAGCCCCTCTTCCTGTTTCCAAAGTTCGTATCTCCACAAAGAGGAGACATTGGCCACCAGGGCTCATGCCCATCTGGGGCTGCAGGGACAGAAGGCAACAGCATGTGTGGACCTGGTCTCCTGTCTGGCACTGAAGCACCAAAGTCCACATCTCAGCAACTTTAGTCATTAGCCCTGTGACCTTGAGCAAGACCTCTGACCTCTTTGAGCTGCTGTATCCTCATCTGTAAAGCAGAATAGCATTTCCTCACTTGCATTATACATAAAGCACCCAGCTGGTGCACAGTGGGCACTCAGTCAAGATTAGTTCCTTTGCCCTGTCTATCCTTTTTAGGAGGGCGTTCAGCTCACAGTGATGGTAGCAGGAGATTTGGGCCTGAAAAGGTGTCTTACCTGCCAGTGTGGAGGCTGGGGCAGGAGCCTGCAGAAGGCTGCAATTTGTCAGGCAGGTTCCAGCAGTCTTGGGTACAGAAGAGATACACCACTGTCCTACCTGGTACATGGTTGGTGCAGCAGCCTTGCTCCCTGCAGAAAGACTGAATCTAGAGAGGTGGTTACAGGCAGGAAGCAGTGTGCCCACTGAATAGGCCCCAGAGACCACGTCACCAGAGGGGCAAGAATGTGTTGGAAAGGTCACAGCTCTGTCAGCGCCCAGCTGTGAGCCCTGGGGGAATCCCCTCCTAGCTTCTAGACTGTTGTGGACCCAATGAATGAATGTTCATGAAGCACTAAGCATACAGGCCCAGAGTGGCTACTCAGGAGTTCTTGCCTGTCCTGTCACTGGACTCTAGCTGACCCTTGTCCCCGCCTTTCGCCCCAAGACCCCGGCTGGGCATCCATCAGCAGGGGTGTGCTGGTGTGCGACGAGTGCTGCAGTGTGCATCGGAGCCTGGGACGCCACATCTCCATTGTCAAGCACCTTCGTCACAGCGCCTGGCCTCCCACGCTGCTGCAGGTACAGAACTGGGTGATTCTCCTTGCCCACACGCAGAGCATGGTTATATTCCTGCCACACTCACTCACACACCTATTTGGAATCTGGAGTTTCCAGGGGCAGTACACACCTGGGGCAGAGCCTGCTCCTGACCCCTTCCACTAACCCCATTCAGAAAGGAAGCCTTATTAGCTTGGACAAGTAGCACTGAGCAAGTTACTTTATCCTTTCTGGACTTTGGCACACCTACCATGAGTCCAAATAGGACCCACATCTTTGGCCTGACTAGTGTGGAGAGAGGACACTCAGTAGGCCCCCCAGTGCCATTTCCAGCCGTGCCAGGCACTTGGGGCATGTTTCCCCTGGTGCCCAGCAAGCACTGGGCACTCTCACTTGGCATCTCTTCCCTGCAGATGGTGCACACGCTCGCCAGCAACGGGGCCAACTCCATCTGGGAACACTCTCTGCTGGACCCCGCACAAGTACAGAGCGGCCGGCGCAAAGCCAACCCCCAAGACAAAGTCCAGTGAGTGGGGCTGCAGAGGTGGTGGGCAGGTCTGTGTGCTCTGGGATGGGCCAGGAGGTGGCTGGGTGACCCACCTCTCCTGCTCTGCTCCCCATTGTCTCCTGTGTGCTCCATGCAGCCCCATCAAGTCAGAGTTCATCAGGGCCAAGTACCAGATGCTGGCATTTGTGCATAAACTTCCCTGCCGGGACGATGATGGGGTCACTGCCAAAGACCTCAGCAAGGTTTGAGGGGCCCCACAACAAATGGGTGGGCCTTTTCTCCTCTTCCTAGGCCCAGGACACTCTTGTCACCACTGAGCGCTAGGCTCCAAAGGCAACCAAGTCAGGGGAGAATTCTGGGCACGGCAAGGGGACAAGATTGCTCTGGCAAACTGTAGGTGGCCAATTTGTCACACAAGGCTAGAGTCCCCCAGCTGTCACTCAAAAGCTGGAAAAACGTGGAGCAGTTGCTCAGCTAATCAAAGCCTCAGTTTCCTCATCTGTAAAATGAGAAAGTAATAGCAGCATCTACCTCACAGATACTATTCTTTCCAAGCAGAGCACATAGCCCCTGGTAGATGGTGACTGGCAGCAGTTGTTATTAATTGGCATTAACTCCTAGTGAGATGCTCTCTGTTCTCCCTGACATGGCCCAATTTTGGCTGGACCCCTAGGAGCTGGTAGGAGTCCCAGGAGTGGCCTGGGCCAGGTACAGCTTGGGCATGGGGAGTGCCTTGTCCACACATGTGTCTATTGCACACTCTGCTCCTTGCAGCAACTGCACTCAAGCGTGAGGACAGGCAACTTGGAGACATGTCTGCGCCTGCTGTCCCTGGGTGCCCAGGCCAACTTCTTCCACCCAGAGAAGGGCACCACACCCCTGCATGTAGCTGCCAAGGCAGGGCAGACACTGCAGGCTGAGCTGCTGGTGGTGTATGGGGCTGACCCCGGCTCCCCTGATGTCAATGGCCGCACACCCATTGACTATGCCAGGTGAGGGTCAGCTGAAAGGTGAGGCTTGGGTGGGTGGGAAGTGGCCTTCTGCTCCAGGGCTAAGCATTGCCCCTCCCCACAGGCAGGCGGGGCACCATGAACTGGCAGAAAGGCTAGTTGAGTGCCAGTATGAGCTCACTGACCGGTTGGCCTTCTACCTCTGTGGACGCAAGCCGGGTGAGCAGAGTACGGGCTGGCTGGGCTGGACCAGGCAGGTGGGACCCAGAACACACCCCAGCAGCAGGTGCCATAGTGACAAAGCCAGCTGGGGAACAGCGTTGCTAGGCAACTGGCTCCTGTGAAATTGCTGCAGGCTCTGGGCTGCAGTGAGCTGGGGCTAGGGAGCTGGGTGGGCCTTAGAGCCAGCTCCTGATGGTCTTGGTGTGCCATACCCTTATTCCTTTACCCCAACACTTCCGGGTGCCAAATCCCGCTCACAACAGTAAGGTGGGCTTCCAGCCCTTGAGGCCACCTAGCATCAGTGACTTGGCATTTTTATTTTTGTTCAGATCACAAGAATGGGCATTACATCATCCCACAGATGGCTGACAGGTGAGTGCCCACCTGATGCCCCTTCCTAGAGGGTATTTGATGCCATGAGGGTGCCTGACCTCAGAGCCCCATCCCTTATCCTCCCCAGACTGCAGGGGCACAGGACCCCATCCTTTACTCTCTCAGGCTGGAGGCACAGGTACTCACAGCCCAGTTCTCCCTAATATGGATCCAATATAGCTAAGAATATCAGCTCAGAATGTGGCCAGTATAGCTGAGCCCCATGACTGTCAAGTATGTGGAGGACTTGAGTGCAAGGGGGTACAAGGGTGTATCCCTGGGTTCTGATCTGCCATACAGTCTTAGATAAAATCTCTGCTCTGCTGGCAGAAGGTGGGCTCTATGGAGCTGGCTGACTTTGGGACTGCTGACCAGGCCTCTGGTGTGCTCCCAAATTGGACAGGCGTGTGGTTGGGGTCTTTCTGCCTCTAATGTGAGAGGCCCCAAGCACCAGGCCTTAGAGGACAGCCCCAGACACTCACCCAGCTCTCAAGATGGATGCTGGCGCCACCTGGTGGCCCTCAGATAGCCACACCATTACGCCAGGCTGCTCCTGGCTGGATGGGGACAGTAGTCGGCTCCTTCCCCCACCCAGGGCCTGTGTGAACAGATGGGATGGTCAGACCTGGGCAGCTCAGATCCCTAAATCCACACCTCCTCTGTTCTAAGATCCTGAAATTCTGCCCTACTTTTCTAGTCTGGTTCTGCCTGATTTTGTGTGTGTGTGTGTGTGTGTGTGTGTGTGTGTGTGTGTGTGTGTGTGGTAAATACACCACAGATAGACATATTCAGTGGATTGTTGAATGAGCGTCTTCTCAAAGCCAGCTGCTGCTCTGGGGATACAGGTTACTCAGACACAATCCCTGCCTTTTGGGAGCTGAGACTGGGCAGGGAGGCACTATAGGGAGTGCAGCAAGAGAGCAGAGGCACAGAGGTTGGAAACGAGGTGCCAGGAACTACAGGCAGCTCTTGTGGCCACAGCATAATGTGAGAGGCAAGGAGCAAGATTAGAGTCAGGCGAGAGAATGACCCAGACCCAGACCTGTGAGCCTCAGCGAGATCTGAGGAGAGAGTTCTTAGCATGGATGTGTGAAGTCAGCTGTGCCACTTATTAGCTGTGTGATTTACAGCAAGCTACTTAATCTCTCCTAGCCTGGTTATCTCACTTGGAAATGGGGTTGACATTCCCACCCTTTTTCAGAACTGAAGAGATCAAATAAGATATTACATAAAAAGTGGTTAGCATATTTAGGTGAGCTTTTTGATGAAGTATGGTTGAAGTATGCTGTATGTACCTGTTACTACTCAGATGTTCTAAGGTGGGTGGTGGAGGTTGGTGAAAGCCAAGTGTGGTGCATGCCTGTAATACCAGCTATGTGGGGTTCTGAGAATGAAGAGGATTGCAAATTCAAGGACACTGTGCAATTTAGTGAGACTTCATCTCAAGAAATAAAGGCAGTAAGAAAGGTAGTACAGCCAGATGTGTCGCATGATCACCCTAGCTACTGGGCAGAGAAAGGATTTTAGGGACAAGACTGGATGTAGGAAGATGCATTAAGAGAATATTGAAGAAGTCCAGGCAAAAGGGAGCAATGGCAAAACTGGGACGCATGGCTGGGATGCTGAGGGTGAGGGAGAAAAGGTGGCTCCCAGGTCAGTGGATGAGTAGGTCACAGAGGAAGGGCAGGCGGGAGGAGGAGCAGGTAGGTCGAGGGCGGATGAGTTTCCTTTCGTACACTCTGGGTCAGGCATGTGTGGAGACGGGTCTGAGCTTGGTGCAAGAAGGCGTGTGCTGCGCTGCTCTTGGGTAATTGCTGCCTCTGTCCTGTTCTTCCCTCTGCTGCCTTCCTCTGGACTTAGATCTCGGCAAAAGTGCATGTCTCAGAGGTATATCGTGCCTGCTGGGAAGCAGGCTTCGGAGGTTGGGTATGGTGGGGAGGTACCTGGTGTGTGGCATTGGGGTCTTGTCTTCCTGGGAATCTCTGCATGTTTGGGAAGTCATTGGCAGCGCTCTGGCCACCTCTCATTCCTGGCCTCCCCTTCTCCCATCTTCATCTGCAGCCTGGATTTGTCTGAGTTGGCCAAAGCTGCCAAGAAGAAGCTGCAAGCGGTGAGTCTGCTCACAGGCTCATGGTACTTAAAGTTGGCCCCCATCCCTTGCTGTTGCTCCTTCTTCCTCTAACCTGACACTTTTCCAAATTTTGTCCCTTCCCCATGGAGTACAGGGGCTTGAACCCAGAGCCTTTGCACTGAGCTACATCCTTGGTGTCTCGTCACCCTACTTTTCTTTTGAAGACGGGATCTTCTTAAGTCATTAAGTGACTTTGAGCCCACACTGGGCTCAAACTTGCAATCCTCCTGCTTCAGCCTTCCAGTGCTGGGATTGCAGGTGTGCGCCACCATACCCAGCTTTTTACTTGCCACCCCACCCCACTTGGCTCACAGTCTTCATGAGCTCCCCATGCCTTTGTCTGTGACCCTGGCTCTTCTTGCTCTCCAGAGTGTTAGAACTCCTAGGGTGTTATCTCCACTGCTGACGTATGAACAAACTGATCTGGCCTCTTCACCCTGGAGTTCGGCACATAGATCCCTATCCATTTTCTACTTCTGAGGCTGTTAGGCTGGGCAGTGCCATTTCCCACAGCTGGTCAGCTAGCCTTGTTGGCATGGGGAGCAGATGATCTTATAAACCTGGGTCACCTTCTCTGCCTCCAGCTCAGCAACCGACTTTTTGAAGAACTTGCCATGGACGTCTATGATGAGGTGGATAGAAGAGAAAATGATGCCGGTGAGTAGGGGTTGGCATAGAGGCCTGCGCAGAGGGGCCTAGAAAGAAGAGGCTTGGGTCTTAGTGGGACTAAAAAGAGGTGGCTGGGGTGGGGGCGGCTCAGAGACCTGCCTGCTGGTGAGCCCCTACCAGCTGTGAGCCTGCCTGGCAGCTCCTCACTGGACAGAGTGTGCTGAGCTGGATGGAGCCATCCCATCCCTTCCCCAAGCCCTGAGCCAGTCAGTTTCTTTGCTGCTCTGGCCACCTCCCCCATCCTGCTCCGCCCCCTGCATCACTCCTTCCAAGTGACAGCCAAGTTCCAGCCCAAACTCTGGGGCTGGCCTGGTGGGATTGGCCTTGTTCCACTCCTCAGTTGCCAGTGGCCTCACCCATCCTTGCCCTGGCCCAGCCTGGCTTCTTGGGCTCAGTGATCGTCCATGTCAGACATGTGCTGTGCCAGTTTGGGGGGTGTGGGAGGAAAAGCGCTTCCCCACCTCCACCCTGGAGGCCCCACCATGGCAGATGTTCTGCTCCCTTCCCTCCTCCACAGTGTGGCTGGCTACCCAAAACCACAGCACCCTGGTGACAGAGCGCAGTGCTGTGCCCTTCCTGCCGGTTAACCCTGAGTACTCAGCCACACGGAATCAGGTGAGGGGGCTGGGGAGGGGACCTCAGCGGGCTCCTCCCTTCTTGGGAGCCCTGTTCTTCCTCACCCTGCCATGGGCAGGCCCAGGTCAATGCTCTCTCCTTTCCTGGAGCCTCCCTCAGGGCCTGGCTGGCCTTCACATTCCGGAGCGGGGAAGGAGGCCATCCTTCTATGGGCTTGGTGAGCAGCCTCAGGTGGTGATTTGGCCTCTGTGCTGGGCTGGCCTTAGCCTTGGGTGTCTGTGCTGGTGAAGTAAGGCTGGAATTTTGTAGTTGTGGTTAGATCAGATGAAAGGGTATTGCCTTGCCGCTTTGTCCCCACCCCCATGGGTTTGACAGAAGGGGCCCCTAGTCTCTTACACTGTCCTGGTCCTTTCTGCCTTGCAGGGGCGACAGAAATTGGCCCGCTTTAATGCCCGGGAGTTTGCCACCTTGATCATTGATATTCTCAGCGAGGCCAAGCGGAGACAGCAGGGCAAGAGCCTAAGCAGCCCCACAGGTGGAACACCCTGAGCAGGGTTGCGGGCGTCATTGTCCTGGGATGTTCTCCTGGGGGCTTCCTTTGCAGGGGGGCATGAAAAATGGGTTCTGTGGCTGAGTGAGGCCTGACTAACAGATCTTGTGTCTTCAGATAACCTGGAGCTGTCTGCAAGGAACCAGAGTGACCTTGACGACCAGCACGACTATGACAGTGTGGCCTCTGATGAGGACACCGACCAGGAGCCACTACGCAGCACTGGTGCCACTCGGAACAACCGTGCCCGGGTCTGAGCGTTGTCCCTACCCATCCTCTCCTGCCCCTGTGAAGCCCCAGCTCTTACAGAGCCCGGGACACAGGGGGTCCGATCCCACCTTCAAGGGCATCTTGTTTTCTGCCCCCGTGGCTGACCAGTTTCTCTTTCTCCGTGCAGAGCATGGACTCCTCAGACCTGTCTGATGGGGCCGTGACGCTTCAGGAATACTTGGAGCTGAAGAAGGCCCTGGCTACCTCAGAGGCAAAAGTGCAGCAGCTCATGAAGGTCAACAGCAGCTTGAGTGATGAACTGCGGAGACTGCAGAGGGAGGTGAGGGCTGCAGCCTGGGGGTAGGGAGTTCAAGGCCCTGGGAGGGAAGGGTGCCTTCTCTGAGAGGTAGGGTGCCTGCGCGGACCCAGGGTTGGATACCACTGTGTGCACTCACAGATCCATAAGCTGCAAGCAGAGAACCTGCAGCTCCGGCAGCCATCAGGGCCCGTGCCCACACCGCCACTCCCCAGTGAACGGGCAGAGCACACACCCATGGCGCCTGGTGGGAGCACCCACCGCCGGGACCGCCAGGCCTTCTCCATGTATGAGCCAGGCTCCGCTCTGAAGCCCTTTGGGGGTGCACCTGGGGACGAGCTTACCACACGGCTACAGCCCTTCCACAGCACTGTGAGTTGCCTGTGCATCTTGGGTGGAAAAACAGGGCTGGGCCTGCCACAGGGCCTGTCATGATGTCCGTTGTGCTGCCCCCACCCACAGGAGCTAGAGGATGACGCCATCTATTCCATGCACGTGCCCGCTGGCCTTTACCGGGTAAGCTGGGCCTGGGAAAGGTGGACCCACTGTAGACAGTAGGTTTTGAGTCCCAGTAGCTGTCAGGCTGTTCTGGGTGCTGGAGCTGGAGAGACTGACTTTGGCTGTTTCTGGGTTTCAGATTCGGAAGGGGGTGTCTGCTTCAGCTGTACCCTTCACTCCTTCCTCCCCACTGCTGTCGTGCTCCCAGGAAGGAAGCCGTCATGCGGTAACATTTCCAGCCCAGTGCTCCTGGCAACAGTGTGGGGAGCAGGGTGTGTGTGCCCAGGAATACATACTCACCTCCAGCCCTCTCCCATGCCCTCCAGAGCAAGCTTTCCCGCCATGGCAGTGGTGCTGATAGTGACTACGAGAACACGCAGAGTGGGGACCCGTTGCTTGGGTGAGGCTCTCTTGGATCTCTGCCCAGTCCTGGCACCTGGAGGGGAGGAGGGGGAGAGGGCCCGGGTGTCTGCAGGGGAGCATCCGTGACTGGATCCGCTTTCTCTTCTCACACTGGGACTCAGGCTGGAAGGGAAGCGGTTCATAGAGCTGGGCAAGGAGGATGATCTCCATCCCGAGCTGGAAAGCCTAGATGGGGACCTAGATCCTGGGCTCCCCAGCACGGAGGATGTCATTCTGAAGACAGAGCAGGTCACCAAGAACATTCAGGAGCTGTTGAGGGCAGCCCAGGAGTTCAAACATGACAGGTATGTGTGAATGGGGTGGGTCCGGACATGTGGGGTGCTGCAGGGGCAGCAGAGGGTCCCTGTTCCTCTGTCCCTGGGACCCTTCCTGGAGAGGCCCCTCATCCATCCCCTCCTGTCCCCCCACAGCTTTGTGCCCTGCTCAGAGAAGATCCATTTGGCTGTGACTGAGATGGCCTCTCTCTTCCCAAAGGTACAGGGGTCAGACAGGAGCAGGAGGCCCCCGGGGTGGGGCAGGCATAGGGATCTGTTACCTGGGTGGAGATAATACACCTGCTGGGCCATGATCGAGGTGGATGGTTTAAAGTCCACTCGCGCCCTCCCTCCCGCTCTGCAGAGGCCAGCCCTGGAGCCAGTGCGCAGCTCACTGCGGCTGCTCAATGCCAGCGCCTACCGGCTGCAGAGTGAGTGCCGGAAGACAGTGCCCCCAGAGCCTGGCGCCCCTGTGGACTTCCAGCTGCTGACTCAGCAGGTGATCCAGTGCGCCTATGACATCGCCAAGGCCGCCAAGCAGCTGGTCACCATTACCACCCGAGAGAAGAAGCAGTGACTGCACTCCCTGCCCTCACCCACACCCTGGGACCTCATTGGCCATGGGGGCTGGGCCACTCCAGACACTAACCCACCCCAACAGAGCCACTGGCACAAGTGCCCTTAGCGCTGCCATTCTCCCCTGGCAGCCAGGCGCCCTGGTGCCCACTCCCCTTGAGCCCCAAGGATGGGGAGGTGGGGTGGCAGGAGCTTCTGTCCCCCACATTCCATGCACCTCCCCCCTGTACATAGCACCCCCCCTTTCTGCGTGCGGGGCCTGCAAGGCATCACTCCCAACCCCTCGCCATCAGCAAAGGGTTGGATGGGGACACTCCACACAAGGCCGCCCCCTACGTGCAGACCACCCCTGTGAGCCAGTTCAGCCCTATCAGGGCTGAGTGGGGGCGTCCTCCTCCTTTGTACATATCTCTGGGTGTCCCTGCCCTTAGCCGCCAGCCCTCTTGCTGCTCTCCTCTAATGCCAAACGGCCCCTGCCTCGGGCACAGACCCCAACTAGTATGTTGGGGTCCCCAGCAGCAAACACTGGAAAATCTTTTTTCTTTCCTCTCCCCAACCCCTTAATTTTAACTTTGTGGTAACTGAGTGTCCCTGCGTGCCTGCGTGTGAGTGTGTGAGCAGCAGTGCCGTTCAGGAGGCCTGGCCCATCTGGAGCTTGGAGGGGTGAGGGGACCAGAGCAATGGGACCAGCATTGGGGGGGGTCTTCCTCTCCCCCACCTGGGACCAGAGACGGCCGGGATCACCAGCTGTGACCCTGACTCTGCCTCTTATCACAGCCCCCATTTGCACCCCTATTCTATGAACTTAAAAGGAAAACCACTTCCATCCCTCCTTCCCCTCCTTTGTAGAGGGAAAAGTGCTGGGCAGGCAGAGGGCTGAGCCTGGGGCTGGCTCCCCGGGGTCCCCAACTCAGCTGGTGGCTGTGGACCTGAGAGCCCCTCCCCATCACCTCTGCGAGGCCAGTACCCATCATCACTACCTGCAGCTAAGGTGGCCCCACCCTCTGGAAGCCTGGGGACCTGATGCAGCCTGGGAAGGCTGGAGAGGCCGACAGCAGCACCCACCAGCTCTTCTTCCTGACCCACCTCTCCCCCAAGGGGGCCAGCCCTACCTGTGTGGTGGTGGGTGGACTGTCAAGATGTGTGTCATGTACATTTGTATCAAAAATAAATAAGTGACCATGTGCTGCTTCTGATGCTTAGAGAATTGGGAGTTGGCAGGGGTTGAAGGCAGACGTGAAAAAAAAATCTGGAGAAGCATGGAGCAAATAGACTTGTGAGCGTCCAAAGACCCAGTACAACCCCTGCAAGCCTGGGGGTGGGGCACGGGACCAGCCCAGATGGCCTGGGCCTCAAGTCCTGGGGGAGCGTGTCTGTGTGACAGATGCACAGGCTCTACTGCGGACTCTACTAAAATAATTTAATTAGAAACGAGTTTGGGCAAGGGCGTCAGGAATGGCTCTTTTCTGGCCACTCCAACCCGCACGTCAAGGAGGCAGCGTTTCTGCAATATGTAGCAGGGCTGCTCCGTGTGCCGCCAGGGGGCGCCCCTGTGCGCGGCCCACGTGGCAGAGGCTGGGCGACCGCAGAGGAGGGGCCCGCCGGGCCAGCGGCAGGGCTAGGGCAGGTCAGTCTGAGCTCTCCACATCCGGGCCACTGTCTGGCGTGGCGGGGAGCAGGGGTCTCCGACGGGAGCGCTTGACTCGGCGCGAGGGCATCAGCAGCCTCCGCTTCAGCACGGCTGTGGGCAGAAGTAGCAGTCAAAGGCAGGGAAGCCACTGGTTTCAGCTTGGGTAGGTGGGCTAGCGGGTGGGGAGGAAAGGTCTCACCAGCAACAGTGTCCTGGCTGTCCGCTGTGGGCCCCCAGTAAATGCTGTCTCCCCGGCGGAAGTTTCGATGGAGCCTCGTGCAGAGCGTGGCCAGTGTGAGCAGTACCAGCAGGAAGGTCAGGGCCATGGCAGCCCAGGCGGCCTCCTCCGTGCGTGGGGTGGGGCCCCGGGCTGCCCGCGGAGGCGCTGCTGCCCGAGGGGCCGGGGAAGCTTGATTGGGGCAGGTGCACCCTCCTGGGCTGCCTTGGGCTTTGGGTATCTGATCCTCTGACCTGCTGCTTGCATTGCCTACGGGTCCTCCAGGTGACAAGGGGACCGAAGGCACCGATGGGGCATTAGCCCCCTCACTTTGGGCTCCCCAAATGGGCTGCTGGACCTTTAAACTCCACGGGGAAGCAAAAGGAACCCTCGGGCCTGCAGGAGTAGACTGGAGACCCAGAGCAGCTCGAAGCCCCCGCCTCTTGGCACCACTGGAAGAGTGCTGCCTGGGCCCGCTGGATGGCATCCCTGTGCCAGGAGGCCTCCAGCTACGCAGAGCAAAGGCCAAAGCTGGGGCCTAAGGGGAGAAGAGATAGTGGTTGGTCATTCCTGCCCTGCTCAGATAACCCAGTGACCCTGACAATCTCCAAGATAGCCCCAGACTGGGCCTGGCATGCCTCACCTGCATACACCCTCTTGGGTACAGCCTCCCTCTGCTGCGGCTTGGCACCGACGGAGAGGGCTGAGCCGGGCTGTCAGAGTGGAACCATACTTTCTTCCTCTGCTTCCTCCGCTGCCTCCTCTTTAACCAGTAGGCAGCCCAGGCTGGTTCTACCCATGCCATCTCCAGTGCCATCCCCCATGCTGTCAGCACCAGGGGCTATGAAACAAGGTAACTTTTAGAGCTAAGGTGAAGGAAGGTAGGGAGCAAGCAAAGGGAATTTTCCTTTCCCTTCACATGGGGCTGTTCCCTTCTGCCGTGGCCAGACAACTGTCTTTCCTCAACCACTTACCCTGTCCCGAGTGAGGTTGGAGTCAGGGATGAGTGAGGGCTTAGCAACACAAACATGGGCCAGGAAGGCAAGCTGGAGTTTCAGCCAGGGATGGGCACAAGGGTGATAGAGGAAGGTGACATCCTCAGCCTAGAGGAAAAGCAGACACATCAACCCAGGCCCAGAGAATCACAAGCTCTCCCATCTTGGGCACCACTGTAAAGCAACTACCAGCATGGCCAAGTGGCCCTCCCACTTTCAAAACACAGGAAAGAGCAAAGGGCCCTGGGTACAGGTATGTGCTCCCTTTTGCTTCCCTTCACTCCCCTCTCCAACAAATGTCACCCTTCAGGGCTGAGCCCATGAGCTGACAATGCTTAGACAACCCTGTTAGACCACACTTTATTTCTCTGCTCCTGCAACAATAGGTCTACAGATCCACAATCTATATGATAAGCATCCCGCAAACAAAGACCAACTCTTCTCTATCAATCTAATCAATATAGTCAGTCTCCCAAGAGGATCCAAGTATGAGGCACATAGGCAGCAGGTGCACAAGCGTAGGATAAAACACTTCATTAGTCATTAATTATTCCTTGATTGAATTAACCCAGGGCTCAGCACGGTGCCAGATGCTGGGGGAAATACCAAAAGAGAACGCTTAGGGCTGGGGATATAGCTCAGTGGCATAAGCGCCTGCCTGGCAAGCGCAAGGTCGTGAGTTCGAGCCCCAGTACCAAAAAAAAAAAAAAAAAAAAAGAGGGAACACCTGGCCTCTGCCTACAGAAATATGTAAGAAGCTCAGTGGCTAGGTGCACTGGTACCTTCCTGTAATCCCAGCACTCCGGGAGGCTGAGGCAAGAGGACTGCAAGTTCAAACCCCGCCTCAAGCAACTTAGTGACTTAGTGAGACTATGTCTCCAAAAAGGGGGCGGGGGCTGGGGATGTAGTTCAATGTAAAGGCCCTAGGTTCAATCCCCAGTACTGGCAGGTGGAGGGACATAATGCAAATGAAAGGGCACACTAATAACGCACAAAGTGGTTAGCTGTGAAATTGTAGGAGACAGATTATGAGTACTACAGGAATGCAGAGAAAGGGATGAAGACAGGCTGATATGCTCAGACAGTCTCAGGGGGCATGGACTCCGGCACTGGGCTGTGAAAAGAGATGGGGAGGGGTGGCAGCAGGGTAGGAGCTGCACTCTTTAGGTCCGGACAGGCCATGTGTGGAGGAGAATAAACAGGAGCAAAGGTGCAGCAACGGGAAGGAGTCTGGCATTCGCTTGTGTGGTGAGTAGATCAACATGACTGAGAAGAACTGAAGATACGGAGTCATATGAAGTTAATTTATGGCCAGAGAAGTCAAGCAGGGGGTGCTGCTGTGCTAAAGCCACGGGTTCTGAAGAGCCTTTCTGCAGAAAATGGTAAGAAGGGAACTGATGCTCAGGAAAGTCGGAGGAAGCATTCAAGTCACGTCTCAGAAGTAGATAGCAAGGTTGTACCCTCCTTGTACTTACCCACCCTGGTCTCATTCGAGTGTAGGTGACCTTTGGCAACACCTACACATGGGAAAAGAAGACTGTTTAGAGCAGCTGGGGCACTGCGTGCTTAGAGAGGGGAGGGACACCAGGCCGCAGGTCTAGGCTGGGATGGAGAAGTTAGCAACTGAAGGCAGGAGAAACCAGCAGAGGTCCCCACAGGGTGACTGGATGGTACAGCGAGGCCAGAGCGGGACTGGGCTACTCCTTCGCACCCCTCTCCCTCGGCCCATCAGGGCCCCTACCTGTGAGGGCAGAGGCCACAGACCCTCGGGACAGTGGGCTCCAGCCTCCTCCGCCAGCTCAGCCACCACCTGTGGGTCCAAAGCGCAGAGCTGGGGCGCTGGCCGCAAAAGGGCCCTACCCTCTCTCTCCCTTCCCAGGCCCGCGGGTTGCGGGTAGAGGGGACTCTTAGCCTCCTCTCGGCGCGCCACTCCTTCCAGGACAAACTTTTGGCAAAGCGCTTTGAGATCGCGGGCCGAAGGCTTTCCAGGACTGGGGCGCCTTACCTCGCTGGGACCCAGGAGCCCCACCAGGGCTGCCAGGAGACGCAAGTAACGCGAAAGCAGAGGAGGCGCCATGCCAGCGGGTATCACCGCCCCACCAGCGAGGGAGCGC